TTTCAGCTTTGACAATACCTAAACTTACCAGTACCTAAATTTCACTCTCCTTGCTCTAGCTACGCACCATCCAGAGAGGAATTTACCAAAGTTTATTGTGATAGAATTTTACATCGAAAAAGCCGCGGTCAGTCAACTGAGAGTCGCGGCGAGAGATAGTTGAGCCAGCCGGAGACATTACAGTGGCCGGCGTTTCCGTAATTGGTTCCACGCTTAACGTTGAAGGACGCTCAGGGCTCTTGTTACACTCTGGTTGAGGCTCAATTTCTTCCTTATGTTCTGACTGAGTCGGCGGCTGAGTCGTTTCGGCTGGAGGCTTTGACTCTGGTGCCGGTGCGTCTTGGGTCTGAACACTATCAGGCTCGGGGGTGGTCGGTTTCGACGCACTGCTTTAGAAGTTATATAAAGAGTCAAAGTGGAGTCCTGTTTTTTATTATTTTTGTGGCACTCGAAACCAAAAAGTACAGCATAAGACGCCGTTTTCCCCCTATACTTTCAAATTAATAATTACAGCACAATAAAGGTCCACTGCTAAACAAGGGTCTGCCCACGAACGGCTCCACACTCCACAGGGGGGTATTTGTGACAGTTGTCACGCTTGACAGGCAAGTTCGCAAATACAATATTACGTATTGTGCTGACAATGGAGGTTAGAGAACAGGAGAACGATCGATACGTACTAAAGCATAGCCCGCTTGTCCCTGAAAATTTGTAGAATTTATAGCCGCGCTGCCGTCGGTAAAAATAATGTCAAAAAAATAGTGTCTGCGAAACACTGACCTCTATATATATATATATATATATATATATATATATATATATATATATATATATATATATATATATATACACATCGTACTTGTATATGTAGAGATCAATGCTGCGAAAAGTTAGTGTTAGTGTCTGCGAAGTTTTTTTTTAAATTTTTGGGAAAAAGAAACATTAAAAATGGTGAAATATTATAAATAATATTAATTAATCATTTAAATTTGTAATAATTTATAATAATTAAAATTATTGAAACAACTTAGCGCCTCACTTATTTTGTCCATATCCTCCTGTTCTCTAACCTCCACGGTGCTGACTCATCAGTTTCAGCACCTTAATATGCCGATATATTTATTATAGATTATGTTTACTTTCTGGAATTGTTTACAGTAAAGTCCAAGTTTCATAGAAATGTCTATCATATTAAACCTTAGAAATACATAAATATTTAATATTTAAAATATAATTTATAAAAAAGCTATAAAAATTTCTAAGGTGCTTTCTTTAATTTTTCTTTTTATTGATTTGGAAAAGATAAGCAAGAAGCGAAAAAAAATTATGCGTTTTAAAGTAGAAAAAGTATTTTATTTGGCAAATATAGCTTATTTAAACACTAAAAATAATGCAATTTATATAAAAAAAAAACAAAACAAAATTAAGCCAGACAAATTATTATCACAGTGCATTGTTACAACAATATATTTTTTGTGTCTTTTTAAATAACAATAGCTATATAGTTATAAATTACAATTAATGTCGGTGGAGCGACGGATCTTTTTTTAATAATCATACTCAAAGTAATTGCCTAAGCTCTTATTACCAGTTATTTTTTTAAAATTACAGATACCTACCTAGAGTAAAAGCATAAAAAAAAACCGTCGCCGAAATACTTGCAAACAATTGTACAACTATTTACAAAATTAAGAAAAAGATTACATCCGATGCAAGGGAATCATGTGCATTGTAGTGGTCACTAAATATTAAAAATAAATAAATTAGAGAATTATATATTGATGTACACAAGAATTCTAGCGGAGATACATACATGTAAATCTTACTAAAATTAGTGGATGAAGCCGCAGTACTTTACAAAACATAAGATTTCTAAGACTTAAAAACAGAGACTTGTTGTTTCTTAAAAATTCGATATGAGCATCTAATTTCACTGTTCTATACCGCGTGTAAATCAGCATAAGATAAACGTCGATATAGACTGACATCACTATGATATTATTGTGTTACCAATATCGTATATGATATACATAGTATTTGTCTTACCCTCCCTCACCTCTGGTCTCCCCCGTAGAGTGTGATAGGGACAAATGCAGCTAAGAACGATTTTACTTATAAAAATCATGAGCGATTGACGTTTCGTATTCCCCTGTTTTCTCCAAGAAAACTAAGCCGATTAAATTACTTTTGGTATCAAAATTTAAAGGAAAAATAGATCAATGCTCCTATAATTTGCTTTTGTCTTAAAAACCTTTGAAATTACTTTGGTAGTCGTCTGATTACGGAGGCAAAAACGGGGCATTTTTTTTAGGATTTTGGAGTCGATATTTATTTTAGTAATAATTTTTTGGAAAAAATAAATGACAGGGGCATGCATGCATGCTTTAATTGACCTAGATTTTTATAAACAAAAACGAATACTCTAAAGGCATTATCCAGGAAGAGAATAGGGGAATACATTTGTATGGAAAAATGCAGCCCGTCTACGCTCTTAATGTGAAACGTCAAAAGTTACCTTTCTTAGATTTGGTTGACTATAGTTACGTGATGATTGCTGCTGCACAACGTGATATCATGAATTTGTTGGAACGCCGAAGACTTCTTGTTTATTGATGTACGCGCTTAATCATTATTATTTTTTATTTTAGTAATAATTTTTTGGAAAAAAAATAAATGACAGGGGCATGCATGCATGCTTTAATTGACCTAGATTTTTATAAACAAAAACGAATACTCTAAAGGCATTATCCAGGAAGAGAATAGGGGAATACATTTGTATGGAAAAATGCAGCAAGTCTACGCTCTTAATGTGAAACGTCAAAAGTTACCTTTCTTAGATTTGGTTGACTATAGTTACGTGATGATTGCTGCTGCACAACGTGATATTATCATGAATTTGTTGGAACGCCGAAGACTTCTTGTTTATTGATGTACGTGCTTAATCATAAGCCTTGAGAGATTTGATATGAAACGAAATCCGATATATCAATCAAACGATGCGGTAGTCCTAATACACATCAGTTATCGATACAAAAACCAATTTTAAAATTAAGAAGTTATTGCAAAGAATTGCGGTACATTTCGATTTATGGCAACTCACGAACGTAGCCTACCCTTGTTTAACAAAGCGAGCTTATTAAGAATGTGAATTAACCCGTAAAAAATAACGTTGAACTGAGAAGCAAACAAAAGGTATTCAATGAATTATCAACGTAAACCAGTAATAATTTGATAACCCACCAAAACATATTCATTTCCCTTCCGCGATAGCTTCAGTCTATTCAATGCGAGCGATTTCTAATGAATTATTTGAATAAAAATAAAAAGTCAACCTCTACTTTCATGGTTTTTGGCAATTTATTTATAAATTTAGTGACCGTTACAATTTGTAATATTGGCATTTACAATGCCCACTATAACTAACAACATAAAAGCTTTTGGTCCAAATAGTTTTCTGATTAAACAAAGAATACTAACTACATCTGACGTTGTTTCATATCGTCAGATGTAGTTAGTATTCTTATATATATAGTTAGTGATCGGCATAATATGCAATCAGCATACAAAAACGTGTCATTTGTTTAACATAAGCGGTTTTCCCTTTATAAATTGAATATAACGTTGAGTATAACGTTGAATATAACGTTGAATATAACGTTGTAATGTAGAATAATATTTGATATTTAATTTTATATAAAGAAAGTTAATCTCAACAAATATTCTTCTTATACCAAAATAAATAATAACACAGGCAAAGTTAAATTTTCATATTAAATTTCATCAGGTTAATATCCTGACAAAATACTTTGTATTCAGATTCAAAATATTAATGATTTTTGTGGCATTTATGGAATTCTTACGATTAAGATATCCCATCACGTCAATATTATTATTTTTAAATTTAATAAAGAATTATATAGGTATATACAATTATTTGATTAACAGACACAAGTAATAATTAAAACGGTTTTAATGTCAGAGTCAAGACAAAATGTACCGAATTAAAACTCTCAACTTCAGAGCACTGTCGAATTCTAAATTTTTTATTCCTTTTTTGAAATCAGTATTTTTAAGTAAGTTAAGTAGAATAAACAATAACACAATCTCAAGTAGACAATAAGAATGTCGTCTATATTGTTACATTAAAAACTTAATTCCATATTTCTACATCTTCTTGGAGCAGAATTTTTTTGATTCAATGTTAACTTAAAGGCGATTATGTCGCCCTCAAGGATTGTCTATTCAATAAAAAAAAGTTATGAAAATTGGGTTACAATCCTCCAACGTAACCATACGTAAAAAAAAAACAGAACCTCCTCAAATTTTAAAATTGTCATTAGCAACAATGTCAGTACGGAACATTCTTTTATTTTTAACTAACCTATTGATACATTATTATATTAATAATTTATTTTTTAAATAACATACTAAATTTAAAAATATTGAATGTATTGTTAACGAGCTAAGCGTACTTGGTGTTCATTAAGATATTTTAATGTGATTCCTTAAAACTATTTTAAGTCCGTTTTTAACTACAACCATTTTCCAAGTAGCTAATACAAAATTATAAGCCACTAAGTCTAATTTATCAAAAGGTTTAAAAAAAAGATGTGTAATGACACTAAATAAAGATGTTATAGAAAGATCAGTAGTAATACTAATAAACAGAATTCTAATGGTGTTTGACTTTCTATTTATGAAAAGTAATACCGCTGTAGAGTTTAATAATATACAAAGTAAGTAACGTTTTGTTTAGTTTGTGAGGTTTATGGCTGGAATAATTATGAAAAATAATATATTTATAGTTAGGGTTTCGTTAGTTATTAACTCTGTAAAGATAGGAATAAAATCACGATCAACTGCTCTTTATATAACATCTGCAAAGGAAACTGAAAAAAATTAAATCTAACGGTGTGACTACCTAATGCAAAATAATACAAAACGCAAATAATTATTAAATAAAATGGACCACATGATGTTGGAAACGACACGACGTCGCGTCAGTGAGAGTTCATTGCTCTGCAGCGGCTATAACTGAAATGCAACCAAAGGAACGTAAGAAAAATAAAAAATAGCACAGGCCAAATAAGATAGTTGTCGAGGTAAACAAAAATTAACGTGATTTTCTAGTACAAAATGTATAATTACCCATTGCGTGTTTCGTGATCGTAGTATGAGCCACCTCCGTGGATTACCTGCAATGTAATAGCATTAATATAGATTTGTCGTCTTTATTTAAAAACACCTGGAGTTACTAGACTATAATAGAATATTTGACCTCCAAAACTAGGCATTGAAAATAAAGTTTTTGTATTCAATATGGACACACAACAACACATTTATAAGCTTAGTTGTGTGCCACTGCAACAAACTGAGCAAAATTAAATCGTGTTTTATGAATGAATTTATGTAGTGTTGCATTCAATGCACTCTTCTATTTTTTTAAATAGAGAAAATATTTAAAAAAAAAACTGTCCTTCCCATCCATCGTCCAGAAAAATCTAAAAATCATGAACATCAAGAAACCGATGTACCTCTAATCACACAAAATGGTTAGGATTCAAAAAATTCTAGCGTCTATAATTGTTGAAATAAGTAAGGATTTCAATTAATTGTGCCGCCGACTTTATCCTTTTAAAAAAAAAAAAAGTTATCCTCTCAATAAGATATTCTCGTGTATCGTGTTGGCAGTTTACATACATAAAAGGCACAAGGACAAACATCCTAGACCCGGAACTCAATTTACCGAAGGTCCGCGGCCTCTAACGTCGCAACTCAATGCTTAGCCAATGCGACACGAAGCCTATTGTTTGGATGCAGATTTCAACTTTTGGATTAATAACTATTAAGACTATTACAATTGTATTGCTAATAGCACAGACGCAAGTATGTATTGAACTTGACTGTTCTATCTATAAAGCTCGTTTTATAATTATTAGCTCTCCCTGCGTCATGCAAATAATTAAAATATACATGGTCGGTCTGTGACTTTAGAAAGTTTGATTTTAAATTATAATGACTCAATTTAGCGAAATTTTGCGTTATTAAATTTGTCTATAGATATTTTTTTAACAAAATTTTTAAAATAAATTATAATTAAAGTTTTAAAATAGGAATTATTTATCTTTTAAAATGAAAATTGTTCTGAATCTTAATATGGATAATATGAAAATAATCATAATATATAATAATAATTCAGGTATATTTATGTATAACGCAACCGGATGAGGTTACTATATTAATAATCCCTAATAATTATGACCATATACCTGATGTATATAATATTGTTATGACATATTTTTGATGGAAAATATCAATACTATTATCTAACTGAACAAGAATGTGACTTGACTACACTTTAGTTACGTAATAACATATTATATAAAATGTATAAACTGGCTTTAAGTTATTAATGTTATCATCGGAAATTATACCTAGCTTCTGAGATAAAAACGTTACACACCTAAAATATATTAGAATTGACATACTCAGCCTTTTTAAAATTATTTAACCAAATCAAACATAATTTAAGTCATTTGTTAAATCCTGTTTGGTTTTTATATAGCTAATGATTTCTAAGGTCTTTAATATAAATTTCAGAAATTAGTATAAACTTTATAATACTGAGTGGAGTAATTACTAGAATTACTCCTTTTTTTATTCAAGGAGTAATTCTAGGAGTATTTAATGTTTTAAAAGGTTTAACAATTTTATGTTGCCCATGAAATGAGTAATAAAGCTGAGAGCGCACTCCTTATTTAATAAATATTTACTTTACCTTGATGAAATATCTCTCTAACTCGTAACAAATGATAGCCAGATGTTTGGTAAAGAGAGTTTTTTTATCGCAATGCAGTAAAAAAGATAGAGCTTGGAGTGTAACTTTACGCATTATAAAATAAATAAATAATTTGCGCCGATTTTAAAATCTTATTTGTAAATTTTTATAAGCCAGTGTTTGACTCCTAATAGGAGTATTTACGTGATAATAGATGGGATAATCCAACCTGTTGGTAATTGGTGGAACAGTCTACGATGGTATGACTATAGCTTTTGCAACCCCTTGAGCAAAGCCTTGAGCAACCCCATATTATATTCGGATGTATAGACAAATGCTGGCAAGTTGTTCTACTGCTTTTCTGTGCGTTATGAATAACAAAGCAAACCGCCATCAATTAAACGTTATTCATACAATAAATACAACATAAACGAACTAAAATTGACAGTTAGTCGTTTTTATATTTAGTCAGGCTACAATTTATTTGCTGGATGGCTTTATCCCGATGATTGAAAAATCGGTCCTAAAATTAGTATGTATAATAAATATAACATTATAATAAAATCTTTATTTCTAACTTAACATCTATAGTTATTAGTTCCTACTTAAAAATTAAGTTAGTATTTAATTTAAAAAATATATAAAATAGTAATATATGTTTATTCATTAGATTTCAAAAATTATGTTGATATAATTACAAATATTGAAAGTGAATACACATTTCTTTAAATTTTTGCCTAGGTATTTAAAATTCTAAAAAAATAATAATTTGAGAATATTGGCCGACAGTTATCATATATACATCATCACACGTACACCCAACACCAATAATCATATAAAATTAAAAACTAAGCGGAATAAATTTTTCATATCTGGTGGATAACGCTTTCGAACCGCCAAAATATATTCTTTTCCTCACAACTCCTTTTTAAATTGGAATAAAGGAAGTAGTCGCTGGAAGCCAATTCTGAACTGTAGGTTATGTGGTCAATTTTCAAGAAGCCCGTGTCCTTCAGTACTCGAAACCAGCTCTCGTGCCTCGACCAATAAATTAGCGCGGCAGGCATTTCATCAGACGAATCGATTATCACGATGACGTATGTCATTTGACAGATAATTTGAATGACCTTATTATAGAAAGAAGGTTATATTTATACTACCAAGGATTGTAGCATTTAGTGTTAACAAAAGTGAGATAATGATTCATTGAAAAATTACTACGAGTCGCAGACATGTCAGTCGCTCTCATCATACAGTATCTATCTAGAATTAAGTTCATATTTTACTTGACTTCAGACTTTCGGGAAGCCTGCAGTATGAAGTAAGTAACTTTGCGTGATACAAGTCAACACAACCTGAAAGCAGCCTGTATTTTTTATGTTGCCACCTGTCAGGTGAGAATTTAATATTCAGCAAGCGATTAACGCGTAACAGATTGAATGTTTGTGTATATAATCGGTTTCCGGGTTCTCGAAGTATTCACTTGTCATATCTCATATATCATAATTATAATATATCGTCTAAATTTTTCTTGAGAATTATGACGGATTTCTATCGGGTAGGACGAGTAAGTGTGTGTGTTCATACGGTGGTTTTATCTGGTGTATAATTTTCGCGCGACTGTTTGACTCAGTTAGTTTAGCGCCTGATACTACTTTGAGTAGAGTGGTCACATTATTACGTACAGTTTGCAGCGTTTCGCTCGCTGACTCATACTGTCGGCGTCTGATCCGTTAATATTCGGTGGTTAGTTTACTACGGTCGACTTATTTCTTGGACTACTTACAGCAAAGAGTAGTTTTCTTTACGTTAACTGCCAAGTAGAAATTCCTCATGTATCGTATAGGTATTTACATACATAAATTACACAAGAACATACACTTGGAGTAGGAATTATTTGTACGTTATACAAGGCAAACACTCTTGTTCCTTGCAGGCCAAATGCACCTATAGCAATAGCTACCAAGCCGCCCAATCTCTCTCTCTCTTCTCTCTCTCTAAATTGTAACTCAGCCCGTCATCGGCACTTGCTCTCGTGTACTCACGTAATTGGAGAATCCACATCATCCTGAGGGTGTCTTAAGTTCACAGCCTCTCTATGAGGATTTCCCGAAAAAACTTGTGGTCTTCACGGTGGTTATCATGGGATCAATGTTCAACAGTTGACTTCTAGGGTTTGATGAAGATAACACACAGAAAGATGACCAGAAGCAGCTCGAAGCATCATTTAAATTGACTACCAATCCAACTGACAATTGTGGCAAATGCAAATTTTGATATCACTACCCCAGATTAATATAATGGTTACCACAAGGTTATCAACTATTAAGATAGCTCATCACGATTTTCCTCAAAAGTTGGCAAAATTGAGGGGTTGATTAACCACGTGGTAGGACTTCTTTTTGCCTGGGTCTATCTCACTATCATATTTCTGTCGCCAAATAGCAATACTTGTACAGCTGTATCTTGGTGTGAAATGTATGGTCACTAGTCAGTATAATTAAAGACTGTAGGGCGTTCCATATTAGTCTTCAGAGGTGACAAGGCATCTGTAGCTTTCTTTTGCAGTAATTTTTAGAAGTAGACACCATAAGGTGGACTGTAAGTTATGTTGTCATATTGATTATATTTAATAAAAATGGATTCCTGGAGACATTACCGTATCACTAACACGAGGGATATCACACATTTGACTTTGTCTAGCATTAAATACGTTTTTGAATGATTCTGGTTATAAGTCTTCCTGAATCAAAGCGTTTTTTACACGCATTTATTAGTTTCGCGTGTATCCATTTATGTAACGAAATCTTTCAATGTAATTTTTATTAACTTGTAGACGGCCGATTTGAAAATTTGCACTCGTATCAAGGACCGAACAATACAATAATTTAATAACTTTATCCTATCATCCCAACCAGGATCATCAAGATAATTCTCTTTAGAATCATCAAAGTTGCACATCAGCATCAATGCGTGTTTTTAAATTACCTAAGTATTTTTAAATTTTATTATTATTTATAGAGGCATCACAAATTTACTACAGTACATAACAATGTTATGAAGAATAACGACCCAATGACAGTTTAACCATACCTTAAAACATATTTATTTCTATGTTTGAATGCTAGGGTTTGAAATACTTACCGTTGCAATAGCGGAGGGCGGTTTAGGCGCTGCAAAACGTCCCAGTGCTGGCGTCACCGCTGGAGTGCTTCGTCCGGATTTACTGCTGAATAAATTAAAATAACAAAATATACATTTTCTATTCCACCAAATCTAAGAAATACCTTTTGACAGCTGCCACATTTATTGGACTAGGCATTCCAACTAAAAAATCGGTACCTACAATATTCAATTCCTAAAAGAAATCGTTATCAATTCTTTTTTGGAAATGAAAATCATTTACTACAAGAAATAATTAGAAACAGATAACTCCAAACACAAAACTCATATCTAGAGACAGTTATACAAATTTAAACTGCACTAGATTAAAAATACATTTGTTAAATCACTTTCACTACAACTAGTTGAGCTGTCGTCGTCCTAATCATTGTTTACATTGATTATTATTTGATTTTCTATAATGCATTCCAAATAATTGTCTATAGTCATTCATAACAATTTCCTTTATTTCCCCACAACTATGGCCCAGTGATCCCCTGTGTAGTAGTTGTTTTGTACATCTATATTTACATTTCTATCATGGCAAATTATGAGGCGAATATGTTCTATGAGAGCTATGGAGAGGGCTATGCTCGGAGTTTCTCTGCGTGATAGACTCAGAAATGAGCATAACCGCATTAAAACCAGAGTGGCCGACATAGCTCAACGGATTAGTAAGCTGAATTGGCAATGGGCCGGCCATGCAGCTCGAATAACCGATAACCGATGGGGAAGAAAGGTTCTTGAGTGGCAGCCTCGTACCGGTAGGCGTAGTGTAGGGCGACCCCCCACTAGATGGAGTGACGACCTGGTAAGACATGCAGGAAGTCGATGGATGCAGGTGGCTCAGGAGTCAGGACCGTGCTTTGTGGCATTACTTGGGGGAGGCCTATATTCAGCAATGGACTTGTGAAGGGCTGTAATGATGATGATGATGAAATTATGAGTCACTTTTCAGACAGGCACGTGTCGTCTGTTCATGTCTGTGGCACAGTTTGGTCGGTCTTCTATGTTTCACCAATGACTACATTATCTCAATTGGTTTTATTTTCTTTGCATTTATGTCTCCAAAGTTTATATTATATATTAATATTTTACGTTAGTCGATTATTTTTTCGTGTCGTTCGGTATCGTTAGCTACATTAAATATTATATCCTCTACTGGCATAGAATGCGCGCTCTAGATCGCTTGTGGTTTCATGTTCTCAAAAAAAAAAAACAAAAAAAAAACAACAGATAATTAAGCGCACCGTTACTCACAGGGTAATAAATAGAGAAAATCTGCCACACCGCCCTGGTCGCATTATAAGTGCAATTTTTTTTATATTTTTCAGTAATGCGAGCTCGAATTTGATGATTTCCTTTACTAAGCCCACGATAAAGCAATACTTCCCAAATATTACTTAAACATAAATAGGAAAGCATTTTTTTTAAATACATTCTGATTTTTAATCTATATTAAAAATCAGAATGTATTTAATAATGATTTAAATTATTATTATTAAATGAATATTATAATATTCCTTTTACGTTTTTATATTATTGATATAATATCACTATAGATTTAACAGTTTTAATAAATGCTATAGTAAACGAAAAATGTACTTAAAATAAAATTGGGACCTGAAATTCCAACGATTAAAATCTACTCAAAAGTCCGTTACTGTCGGCAGCTTAACTTTGAGTAGCTTGAGCTTGTTTGAACCTAAAATATTTAAATGAAAAACAATAAAACCTTGCAATATAGCATTTTTATTTATAACAACTACAAATATTTCATGTTTAAACGTATTAGATTAGTACTGGCTTACTTAGAAATCTAATATAATACATATTAGATTTTTAAGTAAGCCAATTTATTTGTTAAGGTTTCATGATATCCAGTTAATCCGGGGTTAAATTCCAGATAAATTGTGTCACGTAATGAGATGTATAAATACATTCAGAACATGTCTGTTGTGGCTTTCTACTTTTTTCAAGTTATTTTGAGTTTGTTCCACCGCGTTGTCGACGGATTTTTTGGGTCTAATTTCTCTAAATTGTTTTTACTAGGTGTTTGAATTCCTTTCCTGCTCATGGATCCGTTAGAGTTGTTACCAAATCATCATCATTGCAACCATCATCAACAAGTTGACTGCTAAACATTAAGTATGCCTTCCCTAAGGAATGCCACATAGCACGGGCCAGAACCACCCGGATTCATGGATTTTCCGCATCTCTAACCAGCTTATCATCTTAGTGAGGGCCGTCCTACATTTCGTTTCATTAAAAAATTAAAAGAGGATAAAAAATATTTAAGTGAGTTACTGGATAAATACATTTTAAAACAAATCAATTAAGCAGGAAAATTATGAGCAGTCACAGCAGTAGTCGATTCAGAAAGTCAGTATGACATACTGTCGTTGATGTGAAAACTGCCGTACTATTTAACTTACTGCTGATCCAGCCATTTATTTATTAGGCAGATATTGGCTGCTTGAATACAATTTGTTGTTATTAATTACTGATCATGTTTTACTGGCACACTAATTTATCTAACAAAAAATATTGCTCGATTTTTTTAACTGACCGTAATAGAGTAAAAACGTTCTATTCCCTTAAAATATTTATTCATGATATTCGTTTTAATTAGTTATGAAAGTTATTTTATACCTAATTCAAATTGTTTACTGTATTTAATACTTTCACAATACTTTTGTACTAATTTTTGTACATTTTGCCAAATATGCGCTTATTTTATTAACGACACTGTTTTAATAAATAAGAGAAGTAATTTAGACATTCTCGTTTTAGTTGCGTTATAATTTTCGTCATTTCCTTTTTTTACATCTTAGTCCTCAGATATCTTTAACTAAAACTTTAAGCCTTCTGCGGTTGTAGATGTGATATAATAAAACTAAACGAAATATTACTAATGTGCTATAGCTAAAAACTTACTTAATTTCAGCAGCACCAGCGAAGAATTGAGGGGCCACAGCAAAGTTGTTGTTCTGCCTCAAGAGCCGCTCAATGCCGTAATTCTTGTGCAGAAACTGTTCCATTTTTGGTGACGGTCCATCGATTGCCAGCTCATGTGCTGCCATTTCCATATCCTAATATCATTTAACATTGATTATGAGGACGATCGTAAATATTTCTGGAGAGCTGTTTACATTTGATCAAATTTGTTTTAAAGCTGCTGTAATTTCATAAAATCCCACGCACCTGCAGCATATGATCGAAGAGCACCTTGCCGTACCCATGACGCTGTCGATCACGTAGCACGAAGAAATCAAGTACGCACAGCGGTTCCACTTCGCACACCTTGTCGTGTTCATCGAACAAGAACAAATGTTTCCGACCAATCTTCAGCAAGCCTATTACGTCACCCTTACCACTAAAATAAAAAAACAGAGCGTGTTAGCAGTCTCCGATAGATGTCCTAATGTACGGTTTATTACAGGATATGGAGTATAGCTTTATCTCTCTTATAGTAATACTGTCTGTTCGTCTGCCTTCGTCTTTCTGAAACGCGTACCGATTACTGAGGCAGGTGAGACCGTTTTCACAATAATTTATAATTTTATCAACAAATATTCCGAAATATGAATTAAAGTAGATTTAATCTACTTTCGCATAAATATGTATGTTTGAATTATTAAAAAAAACTCAGTGATAGTGAGTCATAATCGATTGGAATCTACATAAATATCACTATGAAAGTATCGTCAAAATACGAGTAGTATTAATAAACCGAGAGGTCAATCGACGGATTCAACACGTCTGGACATAGTTCGTGAGATTAAAACACATCTTTTCGTCACGTAAATAGTATGCCTAAAAATTTGAAGACAACGTGCGTGTTGCCAGTAATGGATCTATAATGTGGTCTTTCACTGCTGCCGTATGAGTAAGCTTAAGATTAGTCTCACCTCAGTAAGTTATGGAGAGGCCTAAGCTTGGAGTTTCTCTACATGATAAACTTCGGAATGAAGTAGAACCAGAGTAAGTGACATTGTCGGTTACTTTGGTTCTACTACTAGCCGACCGAAGAACCGACAACCGATAGGGAAGAAAGAAGAAGAAGAATGGCAATTTCGCACCGGTAAGAGAGACATAGGGCGATCCTCTCTACATGAATTGACAACCTGGTAAGGGATGCAGGAAGTCGATAGAGATTAGATAGATAGGCTTAGGGCCGTGCTTTGTGGCATGTGGGACGACCTTTGTTAAGCAATGTACTTATTATAGATAAATACAAGTTAATCAGTCAAATAACATAAGTAGTCAAATCGATAACTTTCTCCTTTTTGGATTTGATTGAAAAGACGCGAGAAAGTAAAAATATATACTGTAGAACGTATAAATTAACTAATAAACTTCGTCACGAGCAGTAGCACCTAACTTTTGTGTATGTACTTTGGAAAACTTGTAAGTGATTTATAAAATGGTGCACGCGATTGTATGTACTTAATTAAACGGTGTTTAAAACTAATTATGTAAAAAGTGTTATCACAGCCATAATTGGTATTTTAATCTGCGTATAGGTTAAAAAACTAAGATAAGTACAAACGAAATATTATTAAACCGGCACGTACATTATACGATGCTGTGTTAATGAACCGTGACTGGTTTAAAATATTATTAGATAAGCGAATTGTAATGTTTTATTCTAAATATAAGTATTCACGACTTTGTATACAAAGAAAAGAGAACGTAAGAGCGACCTCGCTTGTGTTAGCTCAAGCTTGGCGTTTGCCAGTTTGATAGTTTGCGAGAAATCCAAGCTCTGTGTTGACTTTTGAAATTGTAAACCAATCTTTCACCATCGCCGTGGGACCAACCACATATTTTTTACTTTCCACAGTTCGTTTGAAGATTGGCTTGGGCTTTACAGTGGGACAAATTAAAGGTTGTAAGGCTCAGGAACGTGCTTTGTGGCGTTCCTGGGGAACTCGTATGTTCAGCGGGGGGACGTGGAAAGAGCTATAATGACGATGATTATTATGAAATTAAAGATCGTAATTTAAGAGTAATTTAATTTCTTTTCGCACCTCTTTGTAATAATAATTACTATATTGCTGGAAAGAATAACACAGTAAAAAACACAGTCGCTACAGCGGCGGTAGCTGCACATTCGCTGCTGCACAATCTACAATTCATTGTCTGATTAATACGCTCGTTAAAATTTTATGCCTCATGCACCTAATGTTCGCCAGTCGACTTCATAATAACTGTAGAGCTACATTGCCTTTATTTACTATTCATTGTAAAAGTGTGGTTTGCAAGATTATGTTGTGACCAGGATTAAGAAAGGAATGCTTCGATGGTTTGGTCATGTGGAAAGAATGAATGAGGAAAGAGTGACAAAGAAAATGTATGTTGCAGAAGTGAATGGCAGAGTCGGAAAGGGACGTCCTAGGCGAAAATTTATCGACCAAATTGGCGATTTATTGAAAACGGGCCAAATTAGGAGTGCCCTTAACCGACGAGCATGTATGCGTAGGTGTATGGATGTGAAGGAGGCGAGAGAGGTGTGTCAGGATCGTGCCAAATGGAAGTCTGTAGTCTCTGCCTACCCCTCTGGGTGACAGGCGTGAGTGTTTATGTTATCATTAATAAAGGCAATTTTATCTCTCAGCTTTTTTATCAACAGTTTGAACTATACTGTATTATTTAAAATAATATATTGTATTGTCCCTATTTGGGAGAGACCATAGCCGCTTCAGTTGAAAGCTATGATGAAAAAAGAAGCCCTTAATTCGTCACGTTCAATAATAATGACACTGGCTGACGATAATTAAAACACAATACAAATATTAAAAACAAAACACGCACACAAAATAAAAAGTGGGCTTAGCAGCAGCGCCGACCCTCCCGTATTTGAATTAACCACTTATGACGCATTGCAAATGCAATGTGGATAAAGCGTTTCTATGACTCAAACGTTTCGCATGTCTAGTTGGGTCTTGTTTTAAAGGCGGTTTAAAATATTTTACATTCGCTTCACCACAACATCACTTGTTTTTTGAAAAAAGCCTTTTTTTACAAAAATCACAAGTGTGTGAGTTTGCCTTTCACTTGTGGGTGTTCACCATATATAATAAAATTGTTAGAAGAAATATCTATAATTATTCTTTTGCATACATTTCATTAAAACACTTCATTGAATGCTTTCCTTTTTTTCCTCATTACATACTTCTTAAAATTCTTCTTAAAATTCTGTATTGTATATTGTACTAATTATATTCTTGCAAGTTCACTTCCAGATGTTAGCCGGAAGATTTATTTATAGGAACCTTCCCATTCGGTATAAAATCTTTATGAATATAGCAAACAGATTCTATTGTACCTAAGCCTCAGGCCACAAAAAATGATAGACGAGGCGATGCAAGATAATTTCAAGTGATGCCTAAACCATGCTTAACTTCTTGACACACACGCACACACGCACACGCGCATGCACACACACACACAAACAAATAAAAAAAACACACACACACACACACACACACACACCACACGTGTTGATGCACACCTAAAACCATGTGTGTGTGTTTTTACAATGAGTTGGTAGACATCACTTAAAATATACGCAGCGCTTGGTCTTTATTTCTTTGTTGTTCTGAGGCCATAAGCATAAAAGAAAGCGCTCAGCAGGGTGGTCTTAATTAAATATACAAAATACATCATTATGATTACTTCAACATTGCTCTATTGATGTTAAAAAGGCAAGTTTTAATTTAATTACAATACTACAACGATGAAATCAATTTGATTAAAATATAGTCCTTATGGAATGGTTACCTCTAACTAAGCAATGGCTCCTAAAACTAAGCAATGCTAGGTGGAAAAACCAGATATTGTGTTATTTCATGCTCGTACCATAGTCGGCCAAAAGTGATGCTACATAAATTTTTAAGTTAACTATAGATAGTGAAGATTAACCCTTTATAGGACGGCTCATACATAGTGGCCAGTAAACTGGAGTTACTTCGAGGTCGTTATTTCGAAGATTTTTATTTGAATATTAATTCTTATGATTATTTTCGAACCGCGTTAGAACAGCCCAGCCCGTCAACTGACTATCGTTCAAGTTCAACGCGCGCAATTACAGACTCACGATTTGCAGTACTGCTTCTAAGCCAAAGAGAAGCGTCTATGAATGCGTTCAATGTGATTTTTTTTATTTAATTAATTTAACACTTAACTATATTTTATATAGGGTGGGGTGTTGGTAGCCCTATATGTAGAATGCTTTGTATTTTATTTTACTTATATACTTTATACTATATGTTACTTTATCATTCAATCGATAATACTATGTTTTCGAAGAAATATTTTATGTTAATTATATTTGTAATTGATGACTGATTGGTCTATGTTAAGTAAGTATAATATGTTCTATTATTAAAGGCTAACTAGGAAAATCGTAATTGAAGTCTTTTTTTATATCTCTTCACATAAATAATATAGATTTCGTTAGTATCTACTTCACAGGCCAGTGATTTTGCAATAATGGTTAGTGATGCAGAACGTTCAAGGGCAAGTTTACTAGCAAATAATTTTCGAGATTTTCTCGAAAAACAACAAGTTTCAGGTATTTTTCTAAAACGTGTCATTAAGATTTACGGCACAGAATATATATGTATCACAAAATATATGGATTAAAAAAAAGTTAAATGTGCGTTAAAGGGTTAAAACAGAAATCTTTAGATCATAATTTTTGAGAAAATATTTAGCCATAAAGTTAAACAGAAGAAGAGAAAATATTTACCCGAATATCTTTAAAAATTTAATTCATGAACATGAATAATATAACAAAATGGATAAGCATACAAATTCAAACAAAATTATTCTAAAATCACATTGTAATCATAGTCAATAAAACAGTACAAGAGAACAACAGACAATGTATATTATACAGATCAAGTAAATATGATTTTAAATGTTAAAACAAAGGATAGAAAAAATAGTAGCTTTATGAGACCATCTAATAAATGCAAATAAAGAAGATAAAAAATATCTAATGACATAACATAAATTTGTGAATTTAAAAATTCCACATCTTTATCTCCCCTCTCCATGTTGCGTCAATATTTTTTAGTCCCTTATCCAATAAGTTGAATAACCTTCCACCATAAACAATTTTACGAAACATATTATTGTGATGATATGTATTATGTATTGTGATAGAAAACTGTAAGCACCCTGCAATAACTATATAAATGATAATACCCCAGATATTTTATTTATGAACAGTACAAGATTATTTTTAAAGACCACACATTTCTATGTCTGCTCTCTATACAGCTTTTTCTGTTTTAGTATAATTCTCATTTAATTCATAGTCTCTTATCCATAATGTATTGTCTTGTAGTACTAGAATTCTGGCTCCTACACAAAAACCTAAGCTTAGTTAAAGGAAAAAGAGCTATAATTGGTCAGGCTTCCTTAAATAAACTACTGTTTTCAATAGATGTTACACATACATGGTGTGCAAGAGGAATTAAGGAACAGCAGGACACTTCCTACCGTTTCATCTGGAGGTCATTACCAAAAACCTCTCAACATGCTGCAGTCATTTTCCAAAATTGTCAATAACATGAACAGACTCATATGCTTTTGTGAAGTTTGTATGGCTATATGGTATCTATTAAAAATAAAAAGATATACCTGTTAGTTGGAAATACTCTCATCAAGTAAGGAGTGGTTCTTATAGTAGTTAAATGGTGAATTTGCACCCTACACTACAAACATTCCCAGTTTGTAGTCTATTTTCTTTACCTTTAAACCACTGTTTAAACCACTGTTGCTTCATGTGACAAATAAAAATTATTTTTTTAATAAGCCTGTCCCATATTCTACTTAACATAGAAAGAGAAACTTTTTATTCCACATAGGTTATAAATAATACTCATTGAAAGTCACTCTTATGTTTAATTACCATTGGTTTGGAAAAAAAACCACTGTCCTGGGAAGAACTAGTAAGATAACTTTCGATTCTTTAAAAAAATAACAACTTACAATCATATATTATGTTACACAATTAATCAACACAAAGCAAATTAAAAATATCTTAGTAGTGATCACCTAATTCCCAATTAATTTGTTATATATCTAGGGGGTTGTAAAGAATGCAATCTCCCACCTCGGTAACCATTTTGCACCAACATCAACACCAACAGCAGTAACCATTTTGAAAAAATTATGAGAGTATACTAGATTGTATTGTATTAAGTGTTTAGAAAATTTCTGCTCATATGGTTAGGTGGTGGTACAATTACAAGATTTGACCCACACATACTAAGAGGTGAAAAGTAACATAAAAACTTTTAAAAATACATGTTTCGATGTTAAATTGAGTATAATGTCCCATTGTGCACATGCAGTGCTCAAGATTATATTCAATTTATTGGTGCATTAATATCATCATTACAGCCCTTCACAATTCCACTGCTGAACATAGGCCTCCCCCAAGTAATGCCACAAAGCATGGTCCTGAGCCACCTACATCCATCGACTTCCTGCATGTGTTACCAGGTCGTCACTCCATCTAGTCTATCTAGTCTAGCATTAATATATTACACATTAAGCTCTTACGCAGTAATATATATTAAACATATTTATACAATATATATTAAAAATATGAGATTTTTGTTTTGCTTGCACATTCAATTAATATTTGCATGTTGTAGGTACAATAAATGCATTAAAATGCACCAAAAGAACAAATAGTTGCTGTTCATAGCCTAATTTTATTTTGCACACAATCTCACATCAACTCATCACATTTAGTTCAACATCTTACTACTCTTAATAATATATTATATCATTAAGGCCTTAAAGTTTATGAATAAATTAGAATATTATGCACTAAAAATCGCAGTGCAAAACTTAATATTATTGTAATGGATTTCCACAAAGTAATGCCTGATTCTATCAATTAATATTAATATTGATATTACAGTTCCTCCAAGACAGACTTGGGCCTCCACCAACTAATCTCACACAGCAGTCCAAAGCCACATGTACATAAAAATAATTTGTTTCATTAAATAGAAGACATTTAAAAATATTAATATTTTCTAATAAATATCTATAAAATTAATAGGGAACTTACCCTTTAGCCTTGGAATCTTTCAAAAGGTACAGAATGTGGGTGGGTGCATTACGAAGCTTCTCCGCTGTTGTGATAACTTTATTTAGGCCTTGTGCAGTTGCAGATTGTTCTCCAAGAGCATCGATAAGCTTTGAGAGGCTATCTTGCATTAATCTAAAAAAATTACAAATATATCGACTATGCAATTGAATAATCAATGACTTATTACTATGTATGTTATTGATATATGCCTAAAATAAAGACTAAGAGTAGGTAAGGTAACACAAGAAATCAACTTAACATCTGCACTCAGGCAACTACTTTTATAAAAAGGTAAATGTGAATAAAAACCAAATCAAGTGTAAATACAGTAATATATGAAAGTAAGAACATCTTCTTTAATGTTAATTGAATTATATGTTAGTTTAATTTTGTAAGAACATATAACAGTTTAATAACTTGTAAGGCCTAGTTTAAGAACTTTTTGGAAAAGTTAAGATCATGGATTAATGAAATCAATTATTATTATTATATGAAATGTTCCAAACATTTCATATAATAATAATTTACACTTATCTTTTTTTAGAAAGTGGAAAAAAATTGTCATAAAAAATTGTTCATAATTTTTTTAGTAAAGTTCTGCATTAAAATTGATAGATACAGCTAATGATCTCATATGCAGTTTAACCTTGATTTAGCATTGATGATATTTTAATAAAAAAGTCATCATTACTCTTAATTTTTTAATATAAGATCTGTGTTTAAAAGTGATAAATACAGAGCTAATGAACTCATATGCAGGTTAAACTTGATTTAGCATTAAAATATCTAATCAAAAAAGTCTTAAGTTCGCCTATGGTAATATATCCACTGTATTACCGTAAGAGAACTTAAGGCAAACTCGTCACTATAGACAAGCAGAAGCCTTGAATATGTAGGTGTGCCGTAAACTACTTCAGTAAGATTAATCACATATAAAGCATTCTATATTGCATAGTGGTTAGAGATTTTTGTAAAGAAATTATGACATGAATAATGTAAAGTCTCATTCACCTCACACTTCGTACGTCTCCGCGAAAACCGGGTGGAATAAGAGTGTAGTTAAGCTTCGTAATATTTTCAGATAGCATATCATTTACTGCAACCCACTCCATTTTTAAATTTTACAACACTCACAATACGATAATTAGAACTACAACAGTTGCAATAAAAAAACTACACAAGTAATTTTTTCTTTTAGCTAAAATCCTCTTCTGCAGTGCATAGATTACTGGCTATGCTCTTCTGATTCTGACTTCAGATTCTCTGCCATAGAGATTCTCTACAATCATCAATCAATTAAGTCTAGTCAACCAATCAAATAAGAGTTCTACTCTATGGCTTAAACCAACCAATGACCGTGATAAGCGACAACCATAAAGAAAACCCATAGACTTCGCTTAGGTTAGTACTATAAATTTAGAAACGGGCATAGTGTGCAAGTGAGAAGAAAATTCCTTATGGCAAAATAGAAAAGGATAGCAAATCAAAAATTGTAACCGTTTTTGAATGACAATGCGGCACGCAAGAAATAAAGTATGTAAATAAAACCAATGCATAGTTATTGGGAATACCAACTGTAAATAAAACCAATGCAAAGTTATTAGCATGGAGTATAGAGGTAAAGTAAATCCCATAGAAGAATAGTTAAAAATGTGTCCATCCGTTAGCAGTAAATAACAGTTTAAAAACTCTCACAACAGCGTTCGAAAGACAGGTTCAATGATAAATCGCAGTAGAATACGTTGAGAGTGATTTTGAAAATAAAAATTTTGAAAGCAATAAAATAATTATTGTAAAAAGAAATATGGTGAAAGTCTGTGCAATAAAAAATTACAAAAAGTTCTTTAAAATTTAGACTGTAGCTACAGTGGCGCCACCCTTATTTGGCGCTTTCCTACGGACACTTTTTTATACAGAGTCTGTACTACTTACCTCTACACTCAAGTCCATAGTTATTAGGAATAACAGGGTGCGTAACTTTTTGATAGAGATATTTGAGTAGACAATATAGTTTCAAAAATTTTTTGCAAAAAAATATGGTGTGCTATCACGGGACGCCTGGTAGAAGGAAAACATTGATATTATTTTGTTCAAGTTATATGTATAAAACTCAGATGAAGTAAAAAAAGGTAGTTAACGCACCCAGAACAAGAAACTGTAACCAATTTTATAACTTTGTGTGAGTCAGAGGAAGTGTTGCCACTTTTTTAACGTCCCTAAAAATCGGAGATACAATACTACAACTATAAGAGTAACGCGAAAGTATATCTGTCTTTTTAATAAATTTCAACAATTCGACATTTCAAAACAAGATGAAGCACGTAGAAGGCATTACGTGCGTAGATCATTTAAAAGTCTTCTTGATAGATGTACAGTGAGAATGTAAGCATCGATAAAATATACAACATATGTAATGTAAAACATGTTGATTATAAAATATAATACTAAAATAAACTAGTTAGAATAAAAATAAATTTCCATGGAATTAAAAATATACTTTTCTAAATGAAAAAAGAATATTTTAGTAAATGCAAAATAGAACAAACTCCAGCCGGGGCACAAAGGAGTGTTCTAATTTGTACCCCGGGTAGGAGAGATATGAAGTATCAGCCGGAGAGGACACTGAGTCTCGGTTCAGAAGAGCAAGGCCGGCTTCGTCGTATTTGGGTGGTAGTGGACAGCAATAAGATAGGAATGAAGTGCCCTGATGTTGCAAAAATTCACGGATAGCGTGACAGGGGTTTCCTTGGTCTTATTGCTCTGCTTGCCCCTAGCAGGTTTAGTCGCGAGCAGAATTCCCCCCCCCCTCCAGAATATGCAGAGCAGCCTAATCACCCACGCTCAGGAAGAGTAAAGTAGCTTGGTCGTGGATGCTCAGCGAGGGATTCTCCGTCACCAGGAGTGAGGGTACCCTTTTGGGGTAGGTTTTATTTGATTCCGCTACAATGTTAAGGGGAAGCGGAATTGGGCCCCCAGCCCAAGCGAAAGGCAGAGGTAATCCTCTATTTCACGCAGGTATTCTGTGAGATCGTGGTACCACTCCGGTTCAAGCTAGCCCATTCATGCGACAGCCGCTGCGTGGCTCTACCACTGTCAAGTCAAGAGGATGGCTGCCATTTTGGTTCATTTTAGATCAGTCTTATAACAGCTACCCTTCATTTTTTTATAGGATAGGTTGATAAACGAGCATACAGTCCACTGTGGCCCACTGACATCTACATATATCTTCGATTACGAATCAAAATGCAGATGCGTTGTCACCCGTGAGGACTAAGATGGAATGCCTATCGTTTCCAGTAAAGAGGGTCTCCGGTTCTCTACACTTACCATACAAAACACAGCAGCATTAAGCTACTATTTTAAGCTGGTATTCTGTAAGAGGATGGTCCTTCCCCGGTCGAGCCGACCCATTCATGCTATAACTATACTACTAATAGTATACTGCAGCATGGCTCTACCACGTAAAAAATGCATGTCTTATTAAAATATTCGTTGATAGCCTAAAATCATAAATATTTTTAATAGTAAAATAGTTTGTAAGTAATCAACAATTAAAACGGAAACATCAGCGACTTAAAAACTTAAATATTTATCTTGACTTCAATTTGATGTAACATAATAACAACTAATTAAAAAAATATGCTGACTACATTTATTTTTATAACTTAGCCTAAAATTATTTAACCAAATATTGGACCATTAGAAATAAGAAATACTGGCAACATTCTCCCGTTACGTAATCTCGAAATATCATTCGTGCTTGAACATAACCTTCAAAATTGTGTTGGAATAACAAATTAAAATATAGTTAAATGAGTGTTTACGAGTGGAACGATATTGCTTCAGACTTTTTGTTCACTTTAGTATTGTTTGTGCACCATTTAACTACACAGGACGGCATTTTGTAGGCAAATTTACTACACGACGCCTCGGGAAGTACTGAGCGAAAATGAGCGTAGTTTGATGCATGTGTGTGCGTGAACGCGTGTGCTTACATAAACGAGCTTAGTTTTTTGGCTTCAACAAAGGGCGCGCTGTATCTACCTTTTTTTACTTTATCTGAGGCATAGAAGAACAAATTACGACTGGAATTAGATATGGCATAGTGAAAAGATAAAGCATTACAAGTTTTTTTCCAAATAATAATGACTGTTTATTACATTATTATTTATTATGATTAAATGAAAAATTCAGACATTTAATTAAAATTGCGACAACTCCGTTCTTTTAATGAGTGACTTTTGTAATAGTTACATTCGATGTTTCCTCTACAATATTACTGTGACGATTGGTCATAACATCCATCCTTAATTTTCATCAAATATTCCAGATCAGTTCTTTTACAAGTCACAATCCATTGCTTCAATCTAAAAGGACAAAATATTACAAGCCTACTAGCACATTTGTTTAACAAAATTACATAAAACTAACCCCTACAAATCTTTGGGCATTCTAAAGAATGATTTTAGGTCTTATTGTTGTTTATAATTGTTGCAATCATATACAGCACAAATTGAACCACGTGAAAAACTAGGTTTCACAGACATCTTTTATTAAGGCTGTAAACTAAATTCAACAACTCATGCCACCAGAGGCGCTAGTGTGCATGATTGCCAAGTTTTGAGTGGAGCTGCACATATTACACCGTAGGCTTTATAGTATTTATAGTATTTGAATATATTTTTAACTGATATATATATATATATGAACATAATGAATATGAACATAATGAATAAAATTATCTAGTCCATTCAAAACAATCCTCGATCGATTTCTTACCCTACCGAATAATATTAAAAATTAGCCGATAGTCGTGTTTTTGCCATCCAGCGTATTCTTTACGTACTACCTTGAAAGTCAATCAGGTGGTACGTAAAGTGAGGGAATCATTTTTGTTCGATAAAATGACTTCATTGGCGCTATTAAAATTTTATATACTGAAGGACTAAAGGAAATATTCTCTAAAAATATTTAATTTTTTTCACCATACGAAACACAGCATTATGCTACTTTTTACTTTGATATACTGTAAGAGCGTGGTCTTTTCCCGGTTAGAGGGAACCATTAGTCCTGCACTCATAATACAGATGCAGAGTGACTCTACCTCACATCTATCTAAAATAGCAGCTTAATGCTGCTCTATTTCGTATGATGAGTTACTGACATTTTAAAAAGGAGTAGGCTCTTTTCTTAAAAGTGCCTAAGTCGTATGAGTCTGGAAAAATCTCTCGTGGTAGTCGAGTCTACAAGGAAGTTGTGCGAGGAAGAAAACTTCTTTTAAATCGTACGGTGGTGGACCGTAAGTCATCTATATGGTAGGGATGGTTTGCGAGTTTTGTCGCGATGTGCGATGGTGAAATTGTATGGCTGGAATCAGTCCGAACAATTCCTCAGAGCACTACCTGTGGTAGATGCGATAAAATACGCAAAGAGACGCAACATCTCTCGCGGTGCCAATGAGTCAAGCCGGTCGGAAAGAGCTCGGTCGCCGATGATCCGAACTGCTCTGCGCTGGATGCGATCAAATCGGGAGCTGGCACTAAGTAGTCCCAGCCCAGAGATGGAAACAGTATTCTGTGTGCCTCCGAATCCATGGCCTGGGTACTGGATTGTGCCTATGCAAGTACTCAGAGTTAGAAAGAGTCGAACAACCTGACATGACATGCCTAAGTGATTCCCCGGAATAGCTACAAGCTCGACAGATGGCGCCATCCTTTAGGATGTATCTCCGATAGTTGTTGGCCTTAATAATCTGATTCTACAAAATACATCGCACAGAAAAATCCCTCGGTTTTTCCAAAGAGGTCACCGAAGCGTAGCCAGTGAAGGGAGGCGACCGTATCTACGAAAGGCTTATGTAGAGCCTTGTAGAATCACCCATGGAATTCCTTCTCCTTCCATAATGTCTCAAGGCTGGAAATAATCTGTACTGCCGTGCCGGGACTTTCCATTGCTTGTTGACTAAGGATAAAGGGGTAAGCCCTTTGTAGCGGCGCTGTCGTCGCCGCCACAAGCGAAAACACACCGAAGCCTAAATCACGCTATCAACATTCCGAATCATAAACAGTATATATAGAACATCTCCGAACTATCACATGGAGTGTTGGCCGCT